CACCGATCGGAGGATGGAACCCGCCGAGCAGAGCCAGTAGGTATCATGATTTCAAAAGTACAGGGTACTCTCGATAGTTCCTTTTGTTAATCGAGAGTACACTGTACACACTTTTGTAGTTATGAGAAAGCAACCTTTAAATCCTGACGTGCCTATGAAGCCATTATACTGGACGAGGATTTTGGTACCAGTTACTGCGGCCAGTCAAACTTCATCAAGTACTTCAGATTTATCACCACAGGTTAGCAGAAAACAAATCCTCCACTATAATAATATTCGCTATTGACTTAAAATGGTGATTTCTTCAAGAGTGGCCCTTTTTGTGTTGTCTTATTTAGGTGCCTCTGTGGTTAGAACTTGCGGAGGAGGAGAATTTAAACATGAAAGAGTTCGCTAATTTATTTTCAAGGCAGGTGAGAGAAAGGAATCCGACCAAGAAAAATGAAGGGACACCCCTTAAAAGTTCTAAGATCCAACCTGCAAAAATATTGGACTCGAAACGCTCAAAGATGGTCGGAATCCTTGAAAAGAGTCTGCACATTGATTTTAGCGAGATCGAGAATGCAGCTTATAATTTAGACACGAGCGTGATTAGTTTAGAAGCGTTGCAACAGATCTACGAAATTGTGAGTAAACCGTGTGATAAAAATATAATTAAAAATGCAAAATACGAAGTATATATTCATAAATATACTTATTTCTCATATTTTGATATATCAATTTCCGTAAATTCCGAGTCATTTTGATATTTTTTTATTTGCAGAAACCATCGCAAAAGGAAATAGAAGAGATAGCAGCTCATGAAGCAACTTTTCCGGACGTTCCCCTCGATCAACCAGAATTATTTCTAAAACGGCTGTCCGGTATAAAGCACTTCTCCGAAAGGATAGCCTGCCTTATGTTGCAATCGGAATTCCAGGACGCGATATCATCAGTGTCGTATAAATTGAATAATGTGCGAACTACCTGTGATTTTCTGATCAATTCCGAGCTTCTAAAAAAAGTAATAGCGATCATACTGACCTTGGGCAATTATATGAACGGCGGAAATATGCTGCGCGGCCAGGCCGACGGCTTCGGCCTAGAAATCCTCGGCAAACTGAAAGACGTGAAGTCCAACATACCTGGCGTCACCTTGTTGCACTACGTCGTCAATGCAAAATTGTCCCAGGAAAAAGAGCATAATTTCGACGAGCTATTGCCTTTACCTGTGCCTGAACCGGCTGACGTAGAAGCGGCATCCACAATCAAATTCGATGAGATCGCTAAAGAACTGGATAGATTGGATAGAGAATTACAATGTGAGTGTTACGTATAATATTATCAGTATTGTGCCAATCATGAATTTTATATCTCTCTATTTTTATATTCTCTATTGTTATATATTCTCTGTATTCATTTTTCTGTTTATAAAGTATTAGCTTACTTAAGGATATGATAAACATAAAGTATATAAAGGAATGAATATTATAATTACATCCGTGTGTGTATGTCAGATTTTTTATTAAAAAATGATTTTTATGATAAAATTGACATTTTCTATTTTAATCTATTTATATAATATTAATATTATATAAATGGATATACATATACAAGTTTTATATATATTATATAAGTTATTTTTGGCCCTTTTAATACTACATATTTTCAAAAATTAAATTTTTTAACAATAGAGTACAATTACTATTTTCATATTAATCCGAATCCAGATGAAGAAAACGAGTGCGAATGATAAAATTGTCGTATTCATTGAAGTAATTACTTTTTTGTATTTATTTGCACTTGTTTGCTTTATTTGGATCAGCTTTAAATATAATTTAAAATTATATTTAAGCAAATATATACGATAGATGAAATTAATTTGTTTTAGCGTGTGCACAAATGTGTAGTACAATTGTGGAAGCAGATCCATCTACGTCTAAAATATTCAAAAAGAAAGTAGATTCATTTCTGTTGAGGGCGAATACCGAATTGGCGAGCGAAAAAGAAGATTTATTGGAGGCTAAAAACAAATTCAAAGCTGTGATGAAGTTCTATCAGTTTATTCCTAAAGGTTCCACCCTGGAGACGGCAGAACCTTACGACTTCTTTAATCTGTGGCTTAGTTTCTGTCGTGACTTTAAGGTATAATTTATAGCGTTTGAAATTACTGATTGAGCAAATTACAACGGATCGTATTTTGCAGGATATCTGGAAGAGGGAACAGCAGCGAATACGAAAGGAACGACTGGAGGCAATTCGTAAAAAGTTCGAAAACAAACCCGAGGTTGTAAGAGTAAAATTAAATCCGCACGGATTGAAAGCAAAACTACAAAAACTCACACATAAGAAGCATACTCAAAGGTAGTCTCGTCGAAATGTCCACAAATTGATAATGATTTGAAGTTGGATTAACAGTTTATACGTATAATCGTATTCGCTAAATTTTGAATTTCACAAATAATTCCATTTAATACTCTGATATTCGCAGAGAATTTAATTGTATATAATTTCTAATTTATTTATTATTTTCGAGTTAAGAATCGAGTATGATGATATTGTGAAAAAAAATTTTTAGTTTCAAAACGAGTAGACTGCTTGGTGCAAACTACATTATTACTATATAGGATCTGAAAAATTTATTTAACTGCTCCGTCTACAAAAACTTATTACAAATTTTGCACTTATAAAATTATTTATTATGGAAACGGCTTTCGAGAGAAAAATTTCATATTGCTCAAAAATAATAAGTAATTTTAAATTTACATTTCAATATTAGTTGTTATATATATATAAAAAATATTGAAGACTCTTGAAATTCATGCAACGAAATGTGATCGGTTTCCAAATGTAATATGGATTGCCGATCGTGTGAAACATTCTTAAGCCCGTGTCACACTACGCATTGGAGATTGAGGATTATGAATTAGAGATTAGAATATTCGAATCAAATAATGAATTTTAATTTTAATTCGTTTTGTTCTGATTGGCTGAATTCGAGACTTCAATTTGCAATCTTCATTCTTCAGTGCGGGCTTTAAACATTCAAACGATAAGAATTCTACGTTATATGCGAATATAGTTGTTACAGACTGAAATGTTAACAGTGCACTAAAACGACAATGTATACTTAAATAGACACGTTGTGAAATTTATTAATTATTAATATCATATTAAAAAAAATATTGATATTTCTTACAAGTATTGATAGTCTGACGACAACTTTACGGGTATTACTTGTGAACGCATTCTAATCTCTATATTGTTCCGAGCGATTTAGCAAGCGCATCGGAAAATGATGTTCAGTAAAAAAAGGCCATAAACAAGGTCTGTTCTTTTTAGCTGCACTTTCTTACATTGTTTGCATTTGACATAAAATAAATGACGCAAATCTTTAAAGAAAATTGTAGGAAGCTGCAGAAAGGGAAACTAAAGAGGATATACCTATATTATAATAAACGTCCATGATAATTTTAGGAGAGAGAAACTTTGTGCCTCGTTATACTATACATCTATTCTGTCAATTTTCATTACTCTGCGCTGAAGAATTTCATAAAAGATCATCGATTGTGTGATAATTATTGTTATCTATTTATTTATTTATTTATTTATTTATTCGTTGATGTTAATTTATACTAGATTGTCATGGATTAATAAATAAAAGTGTATATAGAATGTTAATTATACGAATTATTGATGTTATTTAATAAAAGTTTCTTTATAAAAAATAGAAAAAATGTTTCTTATTTATTCATTAATATTATTTAATAATATTAAATTAATATTATTTAATAATATTATTTAATAATATTTAAAATTTATATTGTACCACCTAGTTTACCGTTTACAATTTTTTGATTGTATTCTTCGCTATATCCACGATTTTTGGTCCGTTAGATAGATAAAGACGAACAATTGTTTATTCAACAAGCGCTGACAGATTGATTGTTCGTCTTTCTCTATCTAACGGACCGAAAATCGTGGACATTACCGACGGGTCGTGGATATTACCGACGGGTCGTGGACATTACCGATGGGTCGTGGACATTACCGACGGGTCGTGGACATTATCGACGGGTCGTGGACATTACCGACGGATCGTGGACATTGGCTACGTAGTTCAATGTCCACGTTTTGTGGACATAGAGGCGCTTCAAAATAAGGTTGTAGCTAAGGTCTTGCGCACAATAGAGGAAATATTAGGAACAGGAATAGATATTGAGATTTTAACCTATCAGATACCAGTTACACCGGAATACACGGTTTCTGATAGGTTGAAATCTTAATATCTATTCCTGTTCCTAATATTTCCTCCGTGCGCAGGGCCTAAATCTGCTAAATCCCGGACATGGTCGCTCTCAGGCTTCTCTCTCTGTTAGTACATACTTTTCGGAATCATGAGGCTAGTTCTTTTTGACTGAACTTTTGCACCAGTTCATCTTTCTTCCTCTTCTTTCCTCCTGGAGAGAAAAGGAAAAAAAGATGAACTGGTGCAAGAGTTCAGCCAAAAAGAACAGGGAGCTTATTACGGTTTTTGTGACGAAGTGAAAATTACAAAAATGATCAAATTCACTAGATGTTAACCAATAAAGTTATAAATATTCTAGTAAATTCAATCTTGTATTTCACTTTTGTAATTTTCACTTCGTCACAAGAAACCGTAAAGGTACAATTTCATGCAGCGAAGCTTCGCTGACGAAGCTCTCCACTCCGTCGTAAACGAAGCCAGCGTTCTTCGCTCTTCGCTAAAGCTCTCTTACCTTTTCATGGAGCGAAGCTTCGCTGGCGAAGTTACTCCCACTTGCCATGAATAAAGGAGCATTGAATAGACAATCCAAAAAATTGATCAATCAAAAGATGCTTCGAATTATTTGGTCAATCCTGTTTTCTAATTGGTTGCAGAGAAAAAAAAAAATCGGATACAGTGTGAATCCAGCATATTGCTCGGACGTTCGACACGCTCCCTGTAAAAGCTAAAGTTACTAGATCTAGTGACTTTAGTAAAAGCACCTAAAGGCTGCCATATGTAGTGTCTCTAGCCATCTGTAGTATCTGACAGGATCTGTGCGAGTGCGTAGTAGAAACAAATTTGGTTTTGGTGGTTTGGTTGAACATTTATTCTCAAAGAAAATGATAAATTCAGCAAATGCGATCGCTCACCAGGTGAGGAGGTTCACTACGAGCGTGATTCGTAGGAGTGCTCACGATCCCTACGACGGCGTTCCCGGACACGTGAGTAACAAATTCACACGGTTATATAACAACTCGATGTGGCTATTGGACACTACGTTTAATCACGGTATTTCTTATAGAACTTCCCGTTCAGCACAAAAAATAGACACTTACTGCTACTTGGATTTATGATTTTCTGCGGCAGCGGATTTTCTCTTCCCTTCCTCATGGTCCGTCATCAGTTGAAAAAATAAGCTTTTAGTACATTAAGTTGTCGCCTTGCGAGTCAGGTATTTTATAATAAATTCCTTTGTTTTTATTCATGGATACACATTAATGCAATATACATATTTTTGATTAATTGATCAAAATTGATATCACTCTTAATTATTATTCTGTTTTTCAGATTACATGACTGCATCCGACTAGTATGATATTCTACATCGATGCTGTAAGCATCATTTTGATTACGTTAGGATAATGTAATAGGAAATGTATGAGTTCGTAATAAAGATTTATCAATATCTGATAATGTCTATCAGATGTAGAAGCTTATTTAAAAATTGTTATATCATTTTTGTTGTGAGCTTTCAATTCTCCAATCTTAATAATATAATAATTCATCTGGCGTACAATCAGGTATTTAAGCTCATTTACTACTCATTTTATTTTCTTCCTTGCATGTTACTAGAGTTGAGTTCTACTTGGCATTTGCAGTTGACTAGTTTACATTGTGTATTTGATACAGATACTAATTAATAACTTTCTATTGAATTATCTTAATTTCAGCGATACATGTAAATATATGTATATATGATGAGTATTAATTAATCATTTTGATGCATATTGTACCAATTTAATACATCATTTTTAAATATATTGCTAAAATTAAGATAATTTAATAGAAAGTTACTAGTGTATCAAATGCTCAGTGTAAAAAAGGTCAGTATTCATAAGCATATCATTTGCTTCGTTCAACATTTAATAAAAAAACGAGGACCCTTATTATTGGGTCATTTTCAATGTAGATTTGAAACAAATTCATCCGTGAATAATTAAAAAGTGTATACAGTCACTTAATATTATTTAATGTCGTCAATAGTTAAGATTTAAAAGTTGTTTGTTGTATTTAACCTAATGTACTTATTTGAGTATTGTTGAATACTCAAACAAGTATAATACATTTCAAATTATCTGTAATATCAAATACAAAGCAATATAAAAATCTTAAAATGCTAATCAAAAATGTCATAAACTTAAACCGATGAGGATATTGCTTTAGAGCTACGTAATCTGACGGAAATAGAAATAGCAGTAAACTTATCCATAATGTTGAAATAAAAGTTTTTTTTATAAAAGAATTTATTTTTCTTATACAAGATTAATCAAATTTATTTAAACCAGCACTAGTACTGACTACTGGACTAAATGTTTCTTGATAATTGATATCTTGTTTCTATTCGCAACCTCTAATGACAAGTCGCGCCTTATAACGTTTGTCTTGTTTAATCTTGAAAATCATTTTCCACTCAAAGGCCTTTCTTTTAAATTCTTTATGTCTATTTCTTCCAATTCTCTTTCAAAGACTTCTTTTCTTTTTCTATTGCCCCTTCCCACTTCTGTCTATCGAGTCCTGTTACTGCTTGTCTGTAGATCAATGTATCCTGTGAAATGTACTGGACGCTTTTTTTCTCTGTTTGACTTTTTTCTTTTATCTGTAAAATTTTCTAGATCTCTTTGATCTTTATTTGTAGACTCTTGTATTTTCTAGATTTCCGTCCGTAGAATTCTTGTCTTCTTTGTTCTATTAAATTTTCTTGTCCTCTTCGTTATTCGTTTCCAGAATCTACTGCATCTTCCTTACACATCTTATCCTCTCTTCCTACATCATCTTATCCTTGTTTAACATTGGGTGAACAACAAGGATAAAACTATACACGAAGACACTCGGGTGATGTTTCCAAACGCAGCCTAGGTAAATATAATTGAAAGCTATTTGGTAAATCATTAATGATGTAATTCACAATACGTTTTCTTACAATAGACCTCACTTAACCATGAATATCTCATTAACCACACATAGTCGACACTAAAAATTTATAATACTTATAATACTTAAATATAATACTTATTTATAATAAATAAAAACAATCTTTTTCTGCCACTAACTGCTTTTTCAACATTGTAAAGTGATGGAACAAATTGAAAATCGGATTTGTATTCAGTATCTAAAAAACTACAAGAAATATGACTTGTCTCGTTCCAGTGTTAGAAAAAAAGTCATTTTTTATCGAACAGTGTAATCAATGCTTCTAAAATGTTGAAAAGATAATCACTGATTGAGCGATAATAAGAATTTATAAATAAGATATATAAAAGCTAAGAGATAAGAATATATATATAAATATAATTATATAATTACAAATAATATCTCGAAATGCTTTGTGTTCATATTATATTGCATATAACATTTATTTATAACATATACGTTGTCTCCAATACAATAGATATAGTTAATATATATGCTATTTAATAGATATAGTAATATATTAAAAATATATGTACGTGATCGGATAAATATTACATAGTTTTTCAATCAATAATTGAGCCTAAAATATCTTACAGGTTTCTCTTAGATTACGTGATTCTCTTCACTATTCGCAGTAAGTTTTCTTACTGGTATGTCTTTTGTCATGTATCAAAATCACATTCTGGCAGGCGCGGTCCTTTACGACATGACCGCTTTGGATAATCTATGTAAAATAGAGTTATTATATACACGTACGAATACTTGACATTTATTTAAAGAAGCAGTATCAAAAAATGCTTACGATTGTTATAATCTTCATGAGATCGATAAGAATCTGGGCTAATTATTGGGACATTCTTTATACGATGCGATCCCCATTCATCTTCGTGTAGCTATAGCGAAATAAAAACGAAATTAACTTTGGACAATAACTTAAATTCTGCTAATAAATTTAACGTGAGAATTTTTAAGATCGATAAAAATTTGTCGTATTATTCAAGAATTTTACGAACGTGCATCTTGTATTTCTTTCTTTCGTTCTGTTTTCGGTGTTTTTTATTTACATAAAACTTTCCTTTCTTTTTCTTGATTCTGTACTCGCTGTCCCATTGTTGATCTTCGTTTTCACTTGCATCCTTAATCAATGGTTGCTCCTCCACATGTTTCTGTAAAGTAAAAAAAGTCGGTTGTCCATCTTCTATCATTTTTCTTAAAACTTAATATTACATTGCAGTTTTACCTCTCCTTCAAACGTATTTTCTCTGACAATAAAACCAGCCATTCGTTTTACACAGAATTTCTTCTTAGCGCAGCAAATTATCCATAGTGACAGCAAACATATCGATAGCATCGCGCCAATACTCGCCAGAGTTACCATTACAGCGGAGAAAGAATTCCAGAGCTATGAGAAAAAGTGATTTATGTCAATAATATTAAAGATTAATATTAAAAATTAATCGTTACTTGTTTTAAAGATTAATGCCAATTTCTACACTGAGAAAAATGTTTGGTTGAAAATGGACAAAAATCAGAAGATTCTGATTAAATCAATCATAATTCTGATAATGAAATTGATGAAGTTAATTTTTGCATTGTAAGAAAGCAATAAATATATAAGTATATGAATAAAAGCTGTTATCTGAATTCGTTGATTTTTTTAGAATTTTTGTCTAGAAACTCTTCAGACATACTGCATATTTTACAAGCTGCATCAGATACGTACCATATTGTAACAACCTTTTGTCATTGGATTAGTGCACGTACGACAAACTCTGGCGCCGTGATTCGGTTGATACGTACCGGGTGGGCATCTTTTACAGTGCGATATTCCGTCCTCGCTATAAGTGCCCACGTTACAAGGAACTGAAAGAAAATCCGTTAGCTGTTAATTAATTTATTATATCGTATTGGTTTTCCTGATGTGGGAATCACTTACCACAATGTGTATCACGAAGACCATATCCCGCTGGGCAGCTGGAGAATAAACCGATATTACTGGATCTTCCAACGGATACGTTTGCATCGGTTTTCCCTCTTTTTCGTCTTGCGAACGACGATTTTTCAACGATCGGCACCAGTCTCTGCTCGTAATGCGGCAATCTGAAAATAACTATAGTTAAAGAACTCTATAGAGATGTATTGTGAGTTATATAAAGCCGCAACATTCCTTTATTTAATAAAATTATAAATAAATACGGTAGAGAGCGCCAAAATTATAAATATTTATTAATTATTTTATCACATTTTGCTGCAAACAAAGAGAGAGAATATATCTTCCCAACAGAAAAGTTAAAAAATTTTCTGTAACGTAACGAAGCTTTAATGAAAATACAATACACATTACACCACTCAAAAGTATTTTGTCCCGTTTTAATATTTTTTTATACACTTAAATTTTATTCTAATTCTACTATATTGTCTTTATATATGTAGAATGTAAAATTTTGTGCTATTAAACATTATTATCAAGCCTAACATCTAAAAGATTAAGAAAGATTAAAATTCTTTTCATTTAATTAAGAAAGACAAAGAATGGATAAATACTTTTGAGCGATAGCGTGTACAGGCAAAATCGAACAAAATAGAATGGATGAAGTTAATTTTTGTATTGTAAGAAAGTAGAGAAAGTATGTTGCGACAAGGTAAAACGAATATGTATTTGTCAACTAACTAGTCTTCCCGAGGAAGATTTGCAGATTTTTACTCAGTATCAGCGAGAGTTTATCTTGAATGGCTTTAAGACAGAAGACATTGCAGTGTTTGGGATCGACCGTCATTAGTTTAACGATATGCGATGGCACTAACAGAATATTCACTGTAATCTATGACCAAGAATAGCGCATTAGTAGATCAAAATTAGGAGAATATATCTCATCTTATGTAGTAGAGGAAGGTCATTGATACAAACATACTATTTTGTTTTTGGACAATATTTCTTAAACGAAAGCTAAAAATAAAATTTTAGAAACATAAATACAAACTAGAAAGTATCTTTTACCATAAAATACAGCAGCTTTTATAATACTTTTTATAATTTTACAATCAACTTTTTCGTAAGATAAGCAAAAATGAAAGTCTGACAAAATGGACCCCAAAATACAGTTAGCAATAATGCCACATATTCCTATTCTTTTTCTTTTATAGGAGAATCATCTACAAATATACTTACATAAATATGTATAATATTTTCTAGATCTTTTCACTCTCTCTTCTATATAAAACGTTTTTCATTTATTTATATACGTACTTTATGCTGTTTTGCAAAACGCAAACATGTAACGCGACAGTTGTTTTTTTTTTTTTGAAGATTTTCTCATAAATACACGATTTCCTTCAGTTCCGATAGGCCTATTTGATACTATAATGCAATACTATAAAGATTAAGATATAAGCTTATAGTCTGTTTTATAGATAGGTATGTCGGTTTTATAGATATTACGTTGCATTCTGACTTTGTATTTATAAAACCTATATTAAGAAAAAAAGATAAATAAAACTGATTTAGGAAACTACAAACATATAGAGCGATGTAATATTATTAATAATATAAATTATGCAATTTGCAAAAGAAAATCTCATAAATTTTATTTTCGTATTTGTAGAATACGTTTTTATGATTTCATGTAGAAATGAGTTCTAAGTTTTTACTTCTTTAAATATATCTAAACAAATCATTTTTTTATCAGTATTAATCAAATGCAATAGTTAGTTTTTCCAAGAAATAAGGAAGTTTCTCTTTAGGAGATCTATGTCAGTATTGATAACTTTCCTCTAACATAAGGAAACGTACTTGACTTCGGGTGCAGGACGGCGTTAAGACATAAGCATTGCAGACATCTGCCTCGCATATAATATTGTTCAATTTTAGGGGTAGATATGTTACCAGCACATCCAAGTCCCCTTCGTCGCAAGATCGTACATGATAACGATTTTCTCCGTGCACAATGTACCTCGGCAGCGTGACAACTACAAAAAACCTCTTTTTAGCTTAGTAAATCGTTTATCGCCACTTCGAACTCATTGAAATATAAATTTCGATTAGTGATTCACCTTGCAAATGGACCTCGTAAGTGGTTTCCACGGATTCCTCGTTATCGGGGCTCATGTACGTCATGACACAGGTGTAATTTCCCGTGTCTTTCGCGTTCACGTTTCGCAATTCCAAATCGCCGTTTTCCGCCACGAAACCTACAACAAACGATTCTGTAAATTACAAATTTCAGCGAAAGAATCTCACATTAATTATGAAAAATTGGATTCTGATGAGTTAGTTTTCACATATAATGTAATTTGTAATGTAGAACAAGAGATGTGTCATAGATTGCACAAGACTCAATAATGGATAATTTTTTAATTATGATGTATCAAAGATGCTCCGGCATTTTTACACCCCTCTCTCTCTCTCTCTCTTTGATACATTATATCTTAAAAAAATGTTCATTTGTTTCGTTGTGAAATGCTTTTTTTTCGAATCCGAATGTGACAGGACAATGTAGTACCGCACCGAAGAGCGCAATGCTGTCCATTCTTTTCCACGTGTAACTCGGTCTGCTAAGACTTGATAGCCACGTGATACCATTGCCGTCTTGATTACAGGGTAAATTGAGATTAAGACCGGGTAATGAGATAACATCGTTATCTGGAAAAAATTCTTTATATTATTGTCACATTTAATATTAAATATTTGCGATGGAAGTACCGCTGTCAAGTTCCGAGTTGCTTTTCAAATTATCCTCCAGTTCTTCCAGTTTGATATATTTCTGTCCCTTGAGTGATTCGGTGTTGTAATGCGGTTGGGGAAATTCTCTGGCTTCCTCCATGTCGGAATCCATTGAGATCACTATTTTATCCTGGATCTCTTTATATTCGCTGCAATTAAGTGCCTTAATTTCGTCTAATGAGAAGCTTATTCTGTCAAGTAGAGATCTTATGTTGTTAATTACATTCGTGATATCACAAATGCAATTGAAACAATTATGGATTTTTTTTTCATGCGACGCAGGTGTTGATTTATTTTTATGGTTTATGATATTAGGATGCATTACTTTCTCACTGTTTTTCTTATCGTCGATGGTCCCTACTTGAAGATATTGATTGGCAGTCGTCGTTTTATGATATGCATTTTTTTTATTTATGACACCATTATCTGTATTATGAAGGGAGTGTAAATTTTGCGATGTTCGCGGTTTTACTAGTTGCTTTTTTTTGTGTTTGTTTGTATCTTCGTGCTTAACAATTTGATGCTTCAATTTGTTCGCATTAGCAATGCACAGCTTACGGTTTTTCGCTGCCGAATCGCTGGTACACCGGAAATCATTAAATTTTACTGTTCTTTTTTTCTCGAAATTTCCCTGTTTGTAATGTTTTGGTTCGTGCTTTTGCGATTCGCGTTTTAATTTCTTTGCTACCACTCTGGGTTGCTTCGTTCTTAACTTATAACGTAATGCATTCATTCTCGTTACATTTTCAAGACTGGCATCTCGTTTTTCAATAGAAACATGTTTTATCATCCTATTGTTATTAAGATGGCGTTTGTAATAAGATATATTAGATTTTATCTTGTCATTTCTTTTAAGAACAACATCAAAACAGGTCGTTTTGGTGATTGATTCATCAATGGTTTTACTTTTGTCAGTTGTCGTACGTAATATTGGTAGTTCCGTAACAAAATCGAGCTTCCAAAATCTAGTGCCGCCTAAATGATACATTGTACTTTTCTCAATAGGCCATGTTTGATTCAATAATTCTTTTTCATTTTCTGTCATTCTTTTATCCTTGTTTCTGTTATCTAATAATCTCCCATCATGTGTTTGTGTTGATGTTTCATGTTCTTCATAATTCATATAATCTATAATATTTAAAAACATTTAACAGAGAAATATATATGTTACAAAGTCAGATGACACACAAGAAAAAATAGATTCTCTAATATCTATTGCAGTAAAACCTTAGAAATGGTATAATATAACTATAATATAACTATAATATAACAGAAAAAAAGAACAGTGTCAACTATAAAGTTGATAATTATACAAGTTTTATAGAATTAATGTTGAATAAACTGTGTTATAATTATTGCAACTAGAAAGTAATTTATTCAACTATATACAGGGTGGCCGATTTATCTGAAAACATTGAAATATCTCGAGAACTATACATAAGATAAAAAAATGTGTGCAACGAAAGTTGCTTTATTTAGAATTAATATATATTAATTCTAAAAAGTTTGTATAGTTGTTACTTTTATAGTTTCCATCATTATGTTTTTCTCCAGCGAGTGTGATTATTTGTACAATACACACAAATAGTATTATAACATAAATAAATATAAGAAAATGAAAACTTATAGAAATGACATTCTCGAAATTTAAGATCTTTTCAGCACATACCTTCTATTAAATCCTCGATATAATCGTTGTACTCTTCTATTTTTTTCTCCATTTTGTCTGATATTTCATTATCTTCATCTTTCTCTTCAATTTTATAGTTTGGCGTCGTGATTTTCCTATCTTTTCCAAATTCAGTTACATAAATATCATCATTTGATTCAAATAAAATTGCTGTTAGTTCGTCTTCATCTGGTTTAGCAGATATTACTTCATGCGTTTGTTTATCCTCATTGTAATTGAGATGTAGTACGTTTACCGTATAAACTTCATCTTCTTCGGCTGCAGTTGTTGCTTTTTGATTTGAAATATTGGCCGTATTTTTCTTTGACCAAAACCGTTCATTGTTCTCTATCGATGAAACGTCTCTCTTTTGAACACTTGCTTTGTCATCAATGGAACAGTCACTTTTCCTTGTAGAAATCAAATCGTATCTGAAGAATGCGTTTCTCTTTCCATATTTCTTACTATCTAACATGAACGTCGTAGTTGGTTGGAAGATACTTTCATGATAATCAAAAACATGTTGGTCATATAGAGAAGTACTATTTTGAAAATCGTTGGTCGTGTTTCTTTGCATTGTAATCTTTTTTGGAAATTTCCTCATTTTTTTATAAATCCTAGTGAAACCTTTAAAGTATTGCAGTGGCTTAGTGGTGTTGTTGCTCAGCCATTCATAATGCGACAGCTGCAGATTTTCAATCTTACGAGTAATCTCTTTCTCTCTTCTGCGATACCGAAAATTTGATGGAACATTCCATCTCGGTCTTTTTATTTTCTTCGTACTTGGTAAAGCGAGAAGCCTTCTGCTTAATCGACCGACTGATTTCTTCTCTTCATTTTTTTCGGGAAAGTACGGCAGACAGATCTTTCTGGTTACAATATCTCTTCTTCTTTTATCGAAAGGAATCGTTGTATTTTCTAAAACGTTCAAACAAACTCGTTTTGTCATTATTTCTTCTTCTTCCTGCGTGACAGTTTTTTCAGGAATATACGTTTGTTTCTTCTCTTCAATATCTTTCATTTCTGTATGTCGAGTAATTCCCATCTTTGTAGTTCGATTTTCTTTCTTTTCGGTTATTCTTTCAATCTGCGTTGTTAATTGAGCTTTTATAGTGGTTCTTTCAGTTGGTGGCACTGGCGTTGATAAACTCGTGAGCATAGTCGATTTCTCGGACGGTATGATTGAAGTTATTTTCTTTTCAAATTCTTTCATGTATTTATTAAATTCCATTATATCTCTCTCTAATCTTTTCTCTCTTTCCAGCAAAATCTTTTCTCTCTCTTCTAATTCGCGCTCTTTCTTGCGCAATTCTTCTTTCAATTTTTCTATTTCCTCATCGTACTTTACCTCTGTAGTCGTACTAATAGCCATAGTCGATAAAGTGATCGTAAACTCTAATTCCGTTGAAGAGAATAAAGGTTTACCATAAATATCTGTATAAGTTACTATGTATGTTTCTTCTGTAGTGTACCACGTAGGGGTTGTAACTGAAGTTACACTGATTTCTTCAAATCTTTCACTAAACGTAGTAATAGGTAAAGTAATGAACTTACCGGTGATTAATGTAATTGGACTAGTAATAGTAGGTGAAACGAATAGAGATTCGCTATAAAGAGTCACGTAACTCGTAGTATATATTTCTCTAACAGTATAAGGAGTCGTAGTTTCAATTGTAGCTAAGCCGATACTATATAAATCCACAACAGGTGTAGTGATATATGGCGTGAAGGTTACGTAATCCGTAATTAGCATCTCCTCTATCTCTTCCGTATATGTAATAGATGTACTTTTCTCCGCAGTGTAAGACGTAATTATTTCCTCTGTTTCTTCCGTAACGTATGGCGTAAATGTAGTCTCTTCTATCGCTTCCTCTGTCTTCTCCATGGTATATGTCACAGGTATGATTTCCTCTGTTATACTGAATGGAGTTTCGAATACATAACTTACAGTATACGTTTCTTTGATAGTGTACGAAGTTGTAGTTTCAATTGAAGCTAAACCGATATTATACAAATCCATGACAGATGTAGTAACATACGGTGTCAAAGTTATATAATCTGTAATTTGTATTTCCTCTGTCTCTTTTGTAATGTGTGTGATAGATGTGCTTTTCTCTATAGTATAAGGTATAATTGTTTCTTCTGTAGCATATGTTACAGATGTACTTCCTGCTATAGTTTCTTCTTCCATTTTTTCTGTAGTATATGTCTCGGATGTAATTTTTTCTGTGGTACTAAATAGAGTTGTTTTAATTGGAACCGTAGTAATTTCGACTAAACTTAACGTAGTGATAGATATCTCGAAACCAGGGGATGTAATTTCAATTTCTGTAGTCAACACAGTTAAATTTCTTGTACCAATAGTATAGATAGGAGATGTAATCGAGGTACTGATAGTAGTTGTTTCATAGCTCTCGGTTATACCCGTTGTTGCTGTAATATTCTTCTCTCTCTCTTTTTCACGTTGCATCATTTTCCTGCGTTTTTCCTTTTCTATGTCCCACTGTTTTTCTCTTTCCTTCAGCCTTTCTTCTCTCTCCGCCATCTCTCTCTCGTGCTGTTTGAGATTATCGAGTCGTTGTAGTAACCGTTCTTTCTGTTCTTGTTCGACAGTTGTGCTCATCGTAGTAAATACAAATTCAATTTCAGCTTCGGACGTGATAAATGGTGTTACACTCGGAATAGTCTCTTCTTCCGTCATCGCTGAAGTGGTAACTTCATAAGCGGTTTTGATAATACCTTCCATTTCAGAAGATGCAGTACTCATGGTTGTTAGGTGCACTTCAATAATTTCTCTTTCCGGTAACGTCGTTAGCGTTGATGAGATGAAAAAAGAAGTTAACTTTTCCACGGCAGTCTCAGTCTCTGAAACTTGTTCTGGAGTTGTAGTCTTTTTCAATGCAATCTTTGGAATTTCTTTAGGCTTTGTAGTAAATTTTGGTGAGGTGACGAGCCAGATTCGCGTGAACCGTTCTACATCCGTATACTTGGGAGGAATCGTTAGATATTCAAGTGGCTCCGTCGGAATTTTGAAAGTTGTTGAAGAGGGAAGAGTGTATTCTTCAGTAGAACCAAAAGTTAACCACATCGTTGTCGATTCTATCTCTTTGCTTGCAGCGGACGCTGTGAACTCGGTTTCCACTTTAACCGTTGTTACATTCTCAACTATAGTCGATGTGGACGTTTCTAAGGTAGAAATTGAAGTAACTTTTTCGATATGTGTATAAGATATTCCTGAAGTAGCCACGGTTGAAGTCACATTAACGTAAATCGATGCAGCTTCAGAAGGTGTTGGGTATTTTGTAAACTCTGAAGTTTTTATTTTATATAAAGATGTCGTTGTGCCTTCAATAAAAGGCGGGCTCATTGCCTTTTCTTTAAGTAATTTCGTGTACTTTTCTGCCATAGTTGTTCCTTTTGTCGTGGTTTCGTATTCGTCATAATAATACCACCTGTCAATCGGTATTTTAGTATCATATCCTTTATATTCTTCATATTCTTCTTCATAAAATGGCTCTTTTGCTACATAATATTCCGTCTCAGCTTCTAGCGATTCTTCAGTAGATTTTGGCGAAATTGAAACAGTGGGATAAATGGTTGTTTCGATAACTAATATAGAACTTTGTGTAACGTATGTTATTGATGGACTTTCAGTCGTTGATATCGTAAACTCTTCTGATACAGTTTTTGGCAATGTAGAAATAACAGGCGTTTCCGATGTAATTATTATTGACAGAATAAATTCGGAAAATGGAGCAAGCGTCACAGTAACTGCAGCTTCTAAAATTGTTGCATATTTCGGTCTTTCAGTAGTTGGCAACAACGTAGCAGTTGTAGTAATAGTTATCAGACTTGTTTCTGTAATTTCTGTGGCAGTTTCTTCCAAAAGTGAAACAGTCGTCGCGGCTGTTGTAAGTACCGAACTGGTACTCGTACTTGTTCCTATTGCTGGCATTGTACTTGTTTCAGTGGAAATTAATATAACTTCCGATAGTGACGACATTCCCTCGATCATTGTTCCAGGAGTAACAGTGACGATTTTTTCAATCGATAAAGTTTCTTCAATTATCGTGGGCAAAGTAATCGTTTCGATTATGAAGGAAGTTGCTTCTGAAGTCGTTTCGACAGAAAATGATGTAATATAAAACGTCATTGGTGTTGTTTCTTCGATGATAGTAACTTCTTTTGTAGTAATCCAAGTTGTCGTACGTTCTGTCGTTAATTTAGCAGTACTTGTAACTGTCGCTATTTCTTCTTTCGTGGTTTCATAATAATATGCTCCAGACTCTTTAGTTTCTTCATATTCTATTACAGAAGACGTCGTACCTTCAACGGTCTCTATTAAAAGAGATGAAGTAACTAAGGTAGAGGTAGTCTCATAAGCTGTTGTTCCAGTATCCAACACAATAGGCTTGATTGGAATTTGAGTGATAGAAGGCGTTGTTACCGTAAAATATGTAAGCGAAGATGTACTTTTGAGGATCTCTGCCGTGATTGTGCTAGCAGTTGTACTGAAGACTGTCGCGTTCACAGTCAAGATGGATGATATAGTCATTAACGTTTCGATTGTGGATATCGTTGTAGAAATTGGCAATACAGCTTTAGTGTGTAATGTCTCAAATGAAGATGCTGTCGTAGGTATTAAAGAAGCTGTAGTCTCTTCTGTTAAAAATGTAGAAAGCGTCGTATTCGGCATTTCACTTGACATTGTGCTTGTAACCAGTGATAGTGGCGTTGTCGTTGTTACTTTTAATGACGTAGTTGTAACTGCAGTTTTGAAAGAAGTTGTAACAGCTCCTTTTGTCGTAGTCAAAGGCATGCTAGAAATCGTAGTACACGGCGTTTCACTTAGCGTCGTATTTATAATCAATGTTTGTAATGGCGTTATACCAGGTGTTGTCGTAGAAATTAAAATGCTCTCAGCTGTTTCCGTAGTAAAAATTGTAGTCAAAATAGTCAGAGTTGATGTTTGAAAAAATTCTTTCGGGGACGTTGTCACGGATGATGTAATATTTTCTGACGTTGCAAAAAACACAGTTGTAATAGACGTAGTCGAAATTACTGGAATTTCTGTGGATCCTAAACTTTCGGTAATCGTTAAAATTTCAGTAATTATTTGAGTTTCGGTACTTGATGGAGTTTCCGTAATTGTTGGCGTTAAACTTTTAGTACTTACAATTTTTTTAATCGTTGGAATTTTAGTAATTGCTATAATTTTACTAGGTGTCAAAGTTTCAGTAATGGCTGTAGTTTCTGCAATTGTTGGAATTGTACTAGTCGTTGATATTTTTCTAATTATTGGAGTTTCGGTAAATGCTGTTTCTGTAGTTGTCAGAGTTTCAGTAATCGTTAGAAGTTTGGTTATTGTTGTAGTTTCTATAGTTGTTGAAATCTCGATAATTGTCGAAGTTTCGGTAGTTGTCTTAATTTCAATAGGCGTTAAAGTTTCAGTAGGTCTTAAGGTCTTGGCACCCGTTATTTCTTTAATAATTGGAGTTTTGTAAGTTGTTAAAATTTTAGTAAATGTTAAAGTTTTCGCAGTTGGTGTAGCTATAGTCGTTGGAATTGTACTGGTCGTTGGAATCTCGCTAACTGTTAGGGTTTCGATAGAAGTTGGAGTTCCCGCAGTTATTACACTTTTATTAGTCGCTAGAAATTCGGTAATTTTTGTAATTTTTGTAGATGTTGAAATCTCGATAATTGTCGAAGTTTCGGTAGTTGTCTTAGTTTCAATAGGCGTTGGAGTTTCAGTAGGCATTATAATTTTGGTACTTGTAGTTTCTTTAATAATTGGAGTTTTGTGAGTTGTCAAAATTTCAGTAGATGTTTCCGTTGTTGTTGTTGTTGTTGTTATTGTTATTGTTGTAGCTATAGTCGTTGGAATTGTACTAATCATTAATATTTTGCTGGCTATCGAAGTTTCAATAGTTGTTGGTGTTTCCGCAGTTGTCACAGTTTTATTAATCGGTAGAATTTCAGTAATTGTAGTTTTTATAAATAAAATCTCAGTAATTGTCGAAGTTTCGCTAGTCGTCGGAATTTCGGTTGTTTTAATTTTAAGTGACGTTAGAGTTGTACTGAGCGTTGAAGTTTTAGTACTTGTAGTTTCTTCAGTAATTGGAGTTTTAAGAACTGTCAAAATTTCCGTAGGAATTGAAGTTGTAATTGTTGTAGCTTCTATAGTCATTGGAATCTCCGTAGCTGTTGTTAAAGTTTCGGTAGTAGTTATTGTAGTTTCAGGCGTTGGAGTTTCGGTGGTTGTTGGAATTTCTGTAGCTGTTTCCTCCGCGGTTATAGTTTTCTCAATCTGTGACACTGGACTCTCATCCTCCGGTATTAAAGTTGTTATCGTAATTTCTGTCGACGTACTTAAAATCATTTCCGTTTGTTCTAAAACCATAAGCGAACTTGCGATTGCAGTAGTACTCTCAGCTTTATGCAAAGTTATATTCTCGCTAACGATAAATTCTGATGTTGCAATTTGAGAAGCTTTTGTAATTGCTGGAGATGTTAAAACTGATACGGCAGAAGTTGTAGTTTTAATCATCAATTCTGTTTGTGTAGTCCCAAATAATGATACTGATGGGAATGTATATAAAGATATATTTGTTTCAATAAATGAACTTCGTGTTATTTCCATCGTTAGACTTGTTGATGTATTTTCCACAATTTCTCCCTCTGTAGCCACGGTTACAGCAATTAACGCAGGTATCTCTTCGATTGAACCCATAGTAGCTACAGGAATTGTAATCTTTAAAGTAATATCCGTCATACCTTCTAAAAATGGAGTTAATAGCATGACAGATTCGGTTGTAAAATTTTCTACCATTGGAATTGTGATAGGACTCTCAGTTACTTCAATCGCAACAACTGTTATAGTTAAATCAGTGATTGATATTGCAGCTTCCTCCATCGAAAGAATTGTTAATTCTGTCATATAAAGTAGTGACAACGTAGTCGACATTGTTATTGTAGAAGCACTTAACGTAACCGGCGATCGTGTCGATGATACAATCTCCGAAATTTTAGAAGTTACATCTTCGTATTCGTACTCTTTATACATGCTTGTATAATTTCGTTTATCGTAGTCCTCACTGTATCCAAAATCAGTAACTGTTACATATTCATATAAAGATGATTCGGTTATTTCGAAAATTTCTTTCTTTTCTGCGATTGTACTGAAAGCTGTAATTGTCGGTGCCTCGGTAAAGTACGGCAAAAATGTTGACGTAGGTACAAAAAATTCTGTAGTTGTGAAAATTAGCAGTGGCAAGGACTCCATTAGTTTCTGCGTGGTCCATACATCAGTCGCGTATTCTACGTTTTCAGTTTTTCCTAATAATTCAAGTATATCGAGATAAGCCGTCGCTTCCTTATAAAATTGCGGATCAGTAGGATGAAATTTTTTTTCTTTACCAGAACCAGATATTTCGTTCGACATTGCTCCCTTCACATTGCGTTGTGTTAGACCTCGTTTATCATCCGATAAGAAATGCGCTGAATTGTCCTTCTTTGCAGACATATTCAAAGAGGGTGTATTATCCGGCAAAATTATCAATCTACTTTGATCATTCTCTTGATGATTTCGCCTGCCGCCTGCAAAATTTTCGCTCGATATGTCACTTTTAATCAAATGCGACAATCTTAAAATTGGCATTGTTGTACGTTTCATTTTTTTCGATCCGATAAACTGTCGAATTGGTTTCATTCGTGTTTCATAATTTTTCGTCAGTGACTTTAAATTTCTATTAAACCTCGAATGGAGCAATCTGTCGCCTGATTTGGAAAACTCTTTCTCATTCAATTTTTTCTTTTTAAGGAAGTTTCTATGACCGCTCTGTACCTCTGAATCACTAATCGAGCTTTTGCGCTTATAAAACGGTGTCATCAATTTATTTAAAAAGATAGCTTTTCTTCTAATTTTTACATCACGTTCTGCAATATTTTTACCTTCGATTTCAATACGTCTCTTGTCCAAAGACTGATTATTAAAACTTTTTGTAGAGAAATCAGAATCGTAATAATCTACTTTATCAATTAGCTTCGTAATATTCGTGGCGTTTCTATTTTTACTCTCTCGCTCGGTCCTCGCTGATCCGACGACTTCTTTTTTATCGCACAATCTACTTTGCACGTCGCTGATACTTTGATTGACTAACTGAATTGCGTTTAGCAATTTTTGTAACTCTGAGGACAATGGTTTAATTGCCATTAATAGAGCATTCGAATTTTCTACGTTAGACTGCGCTTTCTTCAATAGCCATTCATTAGTATTTAGAAGTAACGGCGCAGATGTCACGTAGTCTTCTTCATTAAGAAACGAATCCACTTCAGTAGTATAATTAGTACACAACACTTCATCGATTGATCTATTATTATAATAAAAATCGTTGGAATGTGTTGACACTTTATTGTTATATTCGCTTGAAATCGAGATTCCGTATTCCTGATTATATTTATCTACATTTTGACTATTTAAAATGGCATTATTAACGAAGCTGTTAGTGATATTCGGAAAGAAAGTATTATCTTCATTTGCAGATGTGTCAAAGGCAGCTCTATATTGCATTGAAATGTCATCTATAAAGTCTGTTATAGATTCATCTTCGTTGCTTTCCGTTAAAACTTTCGGATCGTCTTCTCGACTTTGTGGCATATCAAATACTTCTTTATCGTTAATTAAATCTATTTCATCTTCTAAAGTAGCTGGCGTATATATATATTCATCGTGCGTGTCAAAAGTATCTCGGAAATCGGTAGTCGTCAATTCGACACCAAACTCACTGTATTCCAAAGAGTTTCTGTAATTTCCGCTATTTTGTCGAATCGGACTTACCTCATTTAATTTTGCCGCAGATAAGGTACTCGGTTTACCGTGAAAAGGCGATGAAAGTGTCGACGAATCGTAAAAATTTATTCTGCCACGCAAGTTAACATCCATCAAGGAAATATTTTTGTAATCCGGAACGGGGAAGACAACTTGTTCTTCGGAAATTTTAAAAGTAACGTCGATTAAATTGGGATCAGTCTGAAAAGCAATATCCGGGTACAAGAAGTCAGGATAGGATGGCGACACTGGATTTTCTTCGGAAACACGAGGCTCAAGAGTAGAATATAAATAATTCATACTGTGATCAAATAAATGGAGATTGCCTCTTTGAAGATACGCTCTACCTACATCTTTTACACCGTGATGCATATGTGCCTTGAACGAGAGGATTGCTGATGTTGCGTTGTCGTTATCTTTTTCTAACAATTTATATCGCTTAGGTATAATTATTCCATCTACGCCTGTTCGAGAACTCTCTCGGACGTTCTTCAAAACGTACAGATTCTTAGAAACCGGTACTAGCAAATATCTTTTGTTAGAGCTTGTCAGGTGATTACTGAATAATTCTTTTTTAACATTGTATGAATTTGACAAATCCTTCTGATATCGCCGTTGAAATTCTTGAGGACGACTGGAATTCACGCCAACAAATTTTCCAGGATGATACGCAGGAAGTAGCATTTTGTTATTTAATCCTTTAATAGCAGGACTTTGTACGTTGACCGTAATTTCTGATTTCGGACTTGCGATTCTAGAAAGAATTAGATTTTTATTGGAAGCATTCAAATCAAGTAATCTCTGTGAATTTGGATATTGTCTGGCAGCAGGAAATATTGCTTTATCCACAGAGCGATCTAAATTATCTAACTGCGATGGCGGCCTCTCAAATGCGTCGAGCAACGGTCGATTAATTATCTCTGTTTCCATGATTGACGGATTTGTCGTAGAATCCAAATTAATTACGGCAAGTGTTGATTTCAGGATTCGCCAGGTCGGAAATCTTGCAGCATTCAATGAGGTATCCCTATTGATATCATCATCGTCCACGTAATTATTCTGATACACAATCTCGTTATTCAAATTTTTCACATGTTTCTTCCTTTTTCGCAGATTTCGTTTTAAGTTGTTCAAAACTTTTTTGTTTTGCGGAAAGCCATTGGTTTGATTCCTTAATAATAACTGTCTATTATATTTATTTATTATTTGGATTATTCCATCATCGATAGGTATTTCGGATATTTTATTTCGCGTTGCTGCACTTTTCTGTTTGAAGATATATCTGTTGTTGCTGCTTCCTACAAATGTTGAAAAAAAGAGATGCTAGGAGGATAATATTAAGATGCTCGATAATATTAAGAAAACGATTATTAGTTGTTTATTAAAAATCGAAAAATAGACTTTCCTATATGCAACATACTTAACTAATAGTTTTTAAACAGCTGTACGCTGTAAAGTATCTTCACAAGTTATTTAATCCTCAATTACAATTATCTATATCTAAGATCTAAAGCATCTTGTTTGAAGTACAGAATACAAATAAACCTCTGTTTTACGACGATTGATAGAGGAAGATTCAAAGTTGTTTTACCTACAATTTAGAATCTCATAGTATCAATAAAAATTTCGTACAGAAATTTTTGCTTTGAATCTAAATGACCCGCAGCTAGTTGGAGGTTAATAATATGTTTAACATATAAATGTAAAATGCGTACACAAAAAATATATATGTAAATATAAATTTATAAATGTAAAAACTTAAGATTGTTACGTTTAATGAAAAAATGATTCGAGAAAAATTTAAATTTAAATAATTGTATGCATGTACTTGGCATCTTTTTGACGATATCGTCACCAATCGCGATTCTTGCCACATAAATCGCAATGTAAAATACGATGAAAAGAATAATTCGCATAGCGTCATATTACGGGCATCCTTGGAGGCAGTCCTTCGCTCACGATTTACACGTACCGTCGTCGCTATTTTGCACGAATTTTCCATGGAGCATCACACAATGATTCACGAAGCTATACTGTCATGGGAAAGCAATGCATGTAGTGTTTGCATCGACAGAAGTTCATAAAGTTCGTGCGGTTTGACAGGAGCAATATCAATAATTGACGAACGCAAATGTCATAAACGAGAGTGTTTTACGTATAAAAGAATTTCCAATCGATTTTCTGATTATTGCATAATGTACATACATATTTTATTGATGTTCTATCTGACTTACTCGCTATAATTAATTGTAAATATTATCATGGTGAATAATATATATTGTCATGGATATTATAATTACACGGTAAATTCAACTAGGGATGCGCCGAATATCCGGAAAATATCCGGTATCCGATATTATCGGATACCCACTTTTTTACTATCCGACCGAATAGCCGGATATCATTAGTATCCGGTAATATATCCTGTTGAAATTTTATATTGATCAATAGTTTGTGTCATTAAAAATTTTATTCTTTTCGAAGATATCAAGGGCTAAGAGCTAAAGCTGGTTGTTAGTTGCTAATATTTAATATTCCATCTAAATAATATATACATTAAAACAAACGTTTTGACCAAAAATTAAGTCATTTTCAATATTATTAAAAATATAAATAATAAACAAGTAATGTCCTAACTAATATTTCGTAAAATTTCTATGCATATAATAAAATATTCTTATATGCATGGAAATTTTATGAAACTTTCACTGGAATAATCAACCATGTGCAACGACAATTTATGTGATGGCTGGTAGGGTTCTCTCGTTAAGAATTCAACATAATTTTGTAATTTTCATCGATTTTTGCTGAAGATGATTCGAATTACGTGAGTCAAGTCATCTTCAAATGTCCAAATAAATTGAAAATATACATTATACACATATAAAATTTGTGCAATGTTTAGAGCGCTTCATTCTCATTAGCTCATTCTTCACTATTTTTTAAATTTTTTCTTTTGATTTAAATTGTTATTAAATTGTCTTTTTAATTCTCTAATTGTTATTGTCTAATTCTCATGAACACAAAAGTTTATGCAAACAGCTGCGAGAAATATAAATGGTCACATATTTAATCCAAAAGTTCAGTTTAATTAAATTCATTATTTCTTTCTATCAAATTTTCTTTCTCTTTAAATATGAAAATATATCAAGATAACACACTTCATAAAATAAAAATTTGTAAACAAAGTAATGAATTATATCGTGGTGAACGAATTCTGGAGTTTTTAAAGTAAAATGATATTTTGATCACGTGATTTAGACAACCAATCAATACACATATTGAAAAAAATGGCAGCGACCTAACCTAACTATTAAAATAATTGTCAAGTGTGACGTAACATTTTTTCAAGTTTGCGATTAGAATTTCTGTGGCCGTTTTTGTAATCATCTTCGACAAATTTGTATTTACTCAATAACGTTTATTCATTTAATTTCTTTTGGATTTTCTTGTTCTGTGGATTTTCTTAGTAGAAGATTGGAGAGAAAGATTTACTGGCCGTGTGTCGGTCATTCTACAGAATTTTTACAGAGTAGAGAAGAAGTTTGACAGACATTCAAGTATATTAGTATGGATTTGTAGATCCATATTCTTAATGAACTGTGTCATTTAGGACACGAATTGTTGGAAAATGAATACGGAAATATTGAATGAGCATTTAGAGACTTTGGCCAGTCATGTTTTTGATAATGACAAGCTGGTAATTCTATTCAATCATTTATATATATTCCACAATGTGTTCTGTATATAAGTACATATTACTATTCTACATTATGCAATGATATATAATGAATATATAATGCAATGATACTTTTAGGTTACCTACAAATGGTTAAGCAAAGAACTACACGTCCATGTTAATATAGCAAAACAAATCTTGTGGTATTTTCATCAAAAGTATCGTAACGGCAACAACATAAACTGCACGTATTTATTAATAGGTCACCTGAAGGAAAAAGGAATGCATGTGGAGGTTGTCAGAGATTCCGATGTATCTAAAGCTAAAGAAAAATTCAGTAAAATTATTTCAGAGCATGTCTACAGTGTCCACAAGCCAATCGTGGATCTACAACTACTTGCCACTGCTGATTCTGGTGATGTAAAATATAGTGCAATAAAATTTGATGCCAAAATGCGAAGTGATAAAGAAATGCAAATATTACGTTGGGGTACAGCTGCTAAAAAGGTTACAATGGAAAATGTGTTAGATTTGAAGTCCGCAGATTCCACAGATCTGTGTGCGACAGAAAAGAATATCACTAAAAAAATATCGCCACAAAGAGAAAATTCGATGAAAAAGGGAAGTTTGGATCATTTCTTTGGAAAGCTGACAGTTCCTTCAAAATCTGTAGAAGTAACGTCATCCCAAAAGAAAGATAATGATGCCAGAAAAGAGTTCGTTGAAGAAAAAGTAATTAGAGAAAATAAGAATTTACTTGAAAGAAAGTGGAGTAGCAGAAGCAAGGAAACAGATGAAATAGCTAAAAAACGGAAGAGAACTATTATGCAGAATGATTCCAGAGATTTAAAGATACAAAATGGTGTAGAGATGGAAAAATCATTTCCTGAAACAGAGCCACGAACTCTTGTAAAACCAAAAGGTCTTGTTTCAGAAAATAAGAAAAAAAAAGAAGAGACAAGGAGAAAAGAGAAGAAAGCAGAGACTAAAAAAGTAAAAAAACAGTCCACGTTAACAAACTTTTTCAAGAAATGTTAGAATTGCTTCAAAATTATCTAAAAGTAAGAAATGTCTATTTGTTTTTTAAATAATTTAAATGTAATATAATATTACTTATTAATAGTGGAATAATATAATCTAATATTAACAAGTATAATATTAATAATAATAAATAATGTACACAAAATTAATAAATTATATTTTTTTGTACTTGTCAAACTTTTCATTAGTTTTACAGGCATATTATAATATTTTTATATTGTTTCTCTTTTGTACCTCTTATTGTCAATATTGCTTTTTTATCGTTATTAATATGATAACAGAATGATAATGATTGATAATTAATTTTTATAGATGATGAGAATAAATTGTGCTGAGTGAATATCAAAATGCAAATAATTCTAATGAAGATTTTATTATACTTTGTGTCAAAACAAAATCAAACATTTTTTGCTCGAATTAAGGACTAAGAGAAAATGAAGAAAATCACGGATTTCAGAGGACATAGTTCGAGCATTTTAGCGATAAGTAAAATCGCTGTGCGAGACTACATGTTTTGTCACCCATTCGCGAAACTATGAAAAAATGCGACATATGTGCGCTGTATAAGGCATTAGAACTATGTGAGATAAATGAATAGATGAAAGAAATGTTGTAACATCTCATAATTGCAGCATCTTGCCTACAAATACATAGATATTATATATATAGTACTCAACAAAAAATAGGAAACACTTTTGAAACACTTAAAAAAATAGCATAATTTTTAGTGTCGGAAAATCATTGCAGACAAAAAGATTAAAAAGCATTTTAAAGCTTGAAACTTTTACTTTAACATGCTCTTGGCTGTTTTTCAAAAAATTTTTATCTTTACAAGTATGTACTTTTACGAAGATTACGTAGTTATGTTGCTCAATAAAAATACGTACATGTTGAAAATGTATGTAATTTTAAGAAACAATGTGATCGTTAAAAGCTGTCAAAAATAAAATTTTTTTTTTAAAAGCCAAAGGCCAAAAGCATATTTATAAGTACAAGTTTCAAATTTTAAAATACTTTGTTTTTATATTTAGCTTATTTTTGTGATCTGTAAATTGCAATTTTGAGCGTTTTGAAAATGATTCCTATTTTTTGTTGAGTAGTATATATTACAATAATATTTTATATATATTCTCTATTTTTTGTCAAGGATGCACGCATAATGAGAAACATGGCTGTTTTCTATAAATTACGTGAAGCTGTAAAAGTTACATCTCAACATAAGATGATTTCCTCTTTCATTTTGCCTATTTTTCCTTCATCATTTGGCCTATTGCAGCTATGTGGTCTTTTTATTTGAAGCAACATGCGAGAATGAGCAACTGTTGTGGCATCAACTATATTAAAAGATTGCAATATAATCTTCTAAGTTAGAATTTTTTCTCAATCTCAGGTTCTATTTCAATGGTATAAACGTAAGGAAATGTTTTTGCGTATTATTTTAATTTTTTTATTCATTTTATGTATTATATAACATTTAGATAACAATTAGATAGCAAATGAACAATGTGAACAGAATTCTAGTTTAGAGAAATACTTCAGAATAAGAGGATATCCATAAAGTAGAGACATCTACTGTATTTAACGCAGTTGAAGTAGTTAAGTTTAACATTTAAGTTATAACAATTTTAATATATATATAATTCTTGGGCATAATTGATGTGTTATATATTTTGTTGTTACATAAAGAAGCTATTTTATATTTACATTTGTTGTCTTTATTGTATATAGATAACATTCAATTTTTTATTATATAAATAAAATTAATATATGTTGCGCGTACTATTCTCTTAAAAAGGCGTTTGTACCGTAAAAAAAATAATTTTGCTGTCATGTATATTCATTATTTTATTTTATGAGATAGGAGTAATTTAACAGTTGTTAAATTAAATTAATTGTTGTGATAAAATATCTACAATTGTCATATTTAACAAAAGTAAAAAATATTTAAAGAGTTGTCTACAATTAATTTAACAATTTTTTTCTTTAAAGAACATATATATATAAAAGAAAGAAAGAGACAAAGGAAAAGGGGAACGCGCGTCTTTCACAAGTATAATGTAACAGTATTTGTTGTTAATCTTCTATTATATGTTGTATACATATGAAATCAGTAAA